CCCAGGCCTCAGGGAGACACTATTCTTGGCCATGTCAGTGATCGGAACTCCAAAGTTAAGGTTGAAGTGGGGCTCAGCTTGTGGAGAATCTTGCAGTCTCGAAGGCTTTCAAAGCGAGAGTTGAAAACCAGACAAAAGAATCTCTACAACTTGCCCAGACAGGGGTCTGCACAGGCCTTTGGGGCCAAAGCCTTATAATAATGGAGGCTGCCAAGCCAGATCTGTTGCAATGAGTTACAGCTGGCCGAGGTCACCTCCTGGCTAGCAGTCATGAGTGGAGAACGTGTTCACTCCATGAAAAGAGACAGCACCTTCCCTACCTATGCTCCAGATATTAATATGCTAATGTGCCACCTTATTATAATTCACTGCCTCACCTAATTCTTACCACGATCTAATGGACATGAGTTACTATTATCCCATTCTGTAGAATTGGGAAGGTCAAATGACCTGCCCAAGGTCACTCAGGTGTGATAAAGCTCCACCTAAACACTGGCTTTGGACTCTAAAACATGAGCTTCATTCACCACACTGCTTGGCCCGCTGTGTCCATAATCCAAGGAGTCTGCCTAGCATGCAGCTTCTTCCGGTCAGTCAGCATGCACAGAGCTCAGGCGATCCTGTCCTGACCTTCTTAGGCAGGACAGCAACAATAGGACCCTCTTTTGCTGTGCACTTCACCCCAAACCATCTCTGCTAAACAGAGGCAGAAACAGAGTCAAAGATACGGCTGAGTCAAACCTAGGGCCCTTTGGATGTTTGAAAACTGCTGGAGCAGTGGCTAACAAACCACCTGATCATGACTTAGAGAATCTATTGTACATGGCGATATGGAAGCTGGAGTGTTGTGTGTGACATGTTACCATTGTCATGTCCTGGCCCACCATGGGGGACAGATCATGGCTTTCCAAGTGACTGTAGTCGATGTGTATAATACAATAGACAACCCAGCAGCTGTCCCGAAGATCAGCAGTGACCAACTTGTATGGACTCTCTGTGCCAGCCTTCTCTACCTTTTTCTTTGCCAGCCTCTAAGTAAGCCCATGGGTCCCTGTCCCACACATCCCCAAACCCTGCGTCCACCACAAACAGGCGAGGCTTCCTGAATTCTGACTTTGGTCACATCAATGGCCTAGAAACAAAGCTTGTAGCAGGTATTGTGGCACATACCTATAATCCTAGCACTCAGGAGACTGAGACAGGAGGATTGGCAAGTTTGAGGCCAGCTTGGGCTACACAATGAGTTTGTGACTTGAACTACACAGCAAGACCCTATCTAAGAAAAAAAAAGTTGTAATGGCTCCCTGGCCCTCTTATTCTCTGTTGCAACTCAGAGGCTATATGTCCTGATTCCTACACAGTGTGACAAACTCATATCCCTGGCCGCACTGATCTTGTGCCCAAGTCAATGCAAACATTCTCTCTCCACACATACACATCTGGCCCTGGCATCTCCAGCCCTGCTCCACTGGGGCCAGTCCCAGGAGAGAAGGGACCTCACCTGTCCCCTGTGCCATTTTTAGCACAGGATGTGGAACCAGGTCTGGCACTTAGCAGGTGCTCAGTGATGCTTGTGATTAAGTAAATTAATTAGGCTATTTCCTCTGACTGAAAAACTCTGACCATATCCTTAGTTCTCAGACTACTGCCGGCTCACTAGACACTATGGCCCTCTGGACATGGCGCCAGGACTCTTTACACACATTCCACTGAGAGTAGCCTTCTCCATCTCTTCTTGACGAATCACAGTGCCAGGATGGTTTGCTAACAAAATAGGATGGAAGTGATACCAAAATGATTTTTTAAATGTGCTCACAGATTTTTTAACATTCCAGCTCTGGGATGGCACCTATTTTTCTCTCTTGAATGTGGGCTGAAATTGGTGACTCCAAGTTGCTAAAGCAGAAGTGACCATGTGTGGTGCTGGAGGTTAAGTCCTAAGGGGAATCACGGCTTCTGTCTTGCTCGCCTTTCCTCTGAGCACTTGCTCTGGGGGAGTCAGGTGCTGTGTTGTGAAGGGCCCCGGCACAGCATGCACGGCAAGGAACTGAGGCTTCTGTAGCAGACGCTGGATGATTTAGGACGACTCAACCCAGCCCAGCCTACACATGAGGCGACCCCACACTGCAGCCTGACAGACAGGATCCTGAGCCGCAACCACCCAGCCAAGTGGCTCTGGGTTCCTCACCTCAGAGACTGTGAAAAGAAATAAATGTCTGCTGCTTCAAGCTACGATGTCTTTGGGGTAAACTGTTGAGCATTAACAGAGATATGTGCCAGGTTTTTTTGTTTTGTTTTGTATTTTTTGGGGTTTTTTGTTTGTTTGTTTTTTAAGCATAGGCCTTAAGGAATAAGAAGTTTCCACTTCCTGCCTCAGGATATTCTGGGAACTCAGCAGCCATGACATAAGGAAGCCAAGCCGCCTATAGAAGGGCCACACGGAGAGCAGCCAACAGCCAGACCCCCTGCCAGTCACATGTGTGCAACAGCTTGGAAACGGATTTTTCAGCCCTTGTTGAGCCAGCTCCTTTGGCCTGCCGAGCCCTGTCCAAGCTGCAGGTGCATGGGCAAAGCTGGGCCTGGTGACATTTTAAGTCACTAAGTCTTGAGGTGGTTTATTATGGAGCAACAGACAATGAAAACAGTTCTTGGCACCTGGCTGTGGGGCACTGCTGTAACAAACTCTAAGAAGGAAGCAGTGGCTCTGGGACCAGGGAGCAGGCGGAAGCCTAACTAATGAGTTTCAAGGAACTCTGCCAGCAAAACTCAGTGGAGGCTGCTGGTTTGGACAGAGGTCTTGAGCTGGACCTCACGGACCAACCAAAATAGAGTGACTCTCACTGAAAGTCCACAGCACCAAGCTGAAACTCAGTAGTTCCCCTGACCTACTAAGAAACTGGAAGAGAACGAACAGCCAAATCCCCAAACAACTCAGTGTTAGCCAGCACGATAAAGAAAGCCTATCTGGCTAAAAGGAAAGTAAGAAAAATCTGATTCAAAGCTGGAGGAAAGAGGATCCTTGTAATGTAATGGCAAGAAGTCACTCAGTTATCATCAGGGGTGGAGAAAAATATTCTAATAAATTCAATCATGCTGTGAAGGAGATTTCCAGGCTGATGACAGAAGTGCCTGCTGGCTTCTTGCCACTGCCTGTGATAACGTGCAAAAGGAGAGATGAATGAAAAGAATAAACCGTTAACTACGATAGGAGCTAGGACTCACTGGGTTTGAAAATAAAACTATTTCTATTTCCAGCCTCTGCAGATGGCAAATGATTATTAAATTAAGGAAGAGCTTCAGGCCATCAGGAGAATCCAGGATGGGTCTGTAAATCTGAGACAGGGACTCACAGAAACTTGTGAACAGACAAAAAGCCCACTAAGGTTCTCCAAGACACCACTAAGACCATGAAATAGGCCCCTGGGAGTCCCAAGGGCACTGTCCTCAGTGATCCCATAGGGAGCCCAAAGCACAGAAGGGCTCTCTTGGTCTCATCCCTGTGACCTCTGTCTAACAGTGCAAGGATCTGCCAAGCTGGGGGCACTGGAGTAGGGGATGACAGAGATAGCATCAAATGTTGAAGATGCAAAAGAAAGAAACACCCAGCCACCACACAACCCCCAGGACAGCCACTGAGGGAGAGGCCCGCCTTCCAGAGAGCACGTGGAGAAACAGAGACAAGGTGAGAGCTCAACTCCTTCAGCCTTATGGTCTCCTGCACCCAGTTAGGCTTCACCGATTTTCTCGGCTGGCCAAAGAGCTAAAATAAAACTCAGACCCATGTGCAACAAGACATGTAAGGAATTCTCCCTGGTTTTCTGAAGAGAGTATTCACAGCAGAGCAAGGGATATTTCTGCTGCCTGAATTATGCCTCTCTTCCCTTGGGCTTCATGAAGGCTCATCCACCTGTATTCCTGGGGAAGATATATTGGTTAAGGAAGGCAAAAACCCTAGCTCAGAAGCAAGATTGTATTCAATCTTCTTTTCTCCTCTCGGCAAATGGGGTCATAATTCCAAGTAAGTGACGCGTGGAGCTGCTGAAACCCAAGCGCAGTGCTCACACCGTGATGTTCTGTGGATTGTAAACGGCACACGAGGCTGCACCGGGGACCAATCTGCTCGTTAGCTGCCAACATCAGTGTTTAATGATCTGAAGAGCAGAAGCTGCCAATTACTGTATTCCTTCTTAAAACACCATTTAAAACCCATACGTGTAATTATTATACCTTTCTGTTAAAGTTTTATGAGTCCTCTGAAGCCTATGGGCTGTGGGTTCATTCAACCTATAAATCTCCAAGAACTATTTGAGGCTGTCTTTCCACAACTGGGTTAAAAAAATCCATGGATCACACACTTGGGAGCCTGGATGCCAGCCCCTGAGTTACCAGCACTTGGGTAACGAGCAGATGTAACCAAAAGACACATCCCACAGCCTCAGCTCCGTCTACCCACCGGGACCACAGTATCTCCCCGACCCACCTGATCCAGCTATGATGAAAATCACATAAAACAACAAATACAGAGGCATGTTGAAAGGCACCATTCAAATAAAAAAGCAAGTTACTGTTGGCAAAGACTTGTGTTTTCAAACTATGAATTCACGGGGAAATACATCCCTTCATAACTGTCCAGCTATCGTGTTCTCAGAAGTCCCCATGTTGCACAGTGGAACTTTCACAGGTGCGCATCATGGTGCCTCACGTTACACCTCATGGGTGTGTCTGGTCACATCAGTCACCCACACCGGGCATCCTTGGAGCACAGGGCTGTAGTAGCAGCACATCTACTCGCTAAACCCTGGAGAGGCGGGACCTCAGAGGTCCTGTCCAGTACTTACTGTCCCTTCACAAAGCGGTCACCCCCCACTCAATGAGCTGTAGGGAAGCCCCCCCAAAGCTGGAGCTGCCTGAGCATGACATAGATAATGGCAGAATGTGAAAGGAAGGCAAAGAGAGGCGGTGCGTTGGTGGTCATCACTAATTAGTCCATCAGCAGTTACCTGATATGGCGAGCATTTTGGCTTCAAGCAATGCCAGTAGCTGGGTCTCGAGGTCACTGACTCTCCTCCTCAGGGTGCTGCAGAGTCTCTCGCCCATACACACCTGCGGGGAGAAATATCCAGGAGTCAACACCGAGTGCTGAAATCAGAAGGCATTGGAGCACAGGACACAGACTCAGGGCTGATGAGTGATTAAGAAGGGTTATTAAAGACAGCCTAACGATATGTGCACACCCATGTTTATAGTAGGGCAATTCACAATAACTAAGCTCTGGAAATAGCCTCGATGCCCATGAATAGATGAACAGATAAAGAAAATGTGTTACACATACACAATAGAATACTATTCAGTCATAAAGGAGAATGAAATACTGTCATTTGCAGCAAAGTAACAAAACTTGACACCATCATGCTAAGCAATACAAGCCAGACTCAGAAAGCTAAACATTGTATGCGTTCTCTTACACTATGAGAAACTTAATATGTTAATTTTAAAATGATTAAAATAAAGGAGAGATGACAGGGAATTAGAAAGCAGGCTCTTAAAGACAGAGGAGGGGACCAGGGAAAGGCAAAGGTGCGGGAGGGGGAGGTAAAGAGATTGAAAATGAGTAAGTTGTAAGTTGTGTTAGATGCGAGTACCAACTCCTCAAAATGAACATCGCTGTTCTGTACTGCAAACACTAATGAAACTGGAGGGTTGACAGGGCTGGGGATTTAGCTCAGTGGTGCTGTCATCTGCCTCACAAGCACAAGGACCTGAGTTCGATCCCCAGTACAAAAAAAAAAAAAAAAAAAAAAAAAAA